TATATCCTTCGCATTGATTCGAGCTAGTTTTCAGAAACGACCCATCAAATCGAGCACGACACTAAACTAAATATATTGTGTAGCGCTCGTAGAAATGCTATTTGAAGTGCAGGTGATTCTGGGTGGAAGATGAAGGTACAGTGAAAGCTATCAATAATAAAGAGACGTTGTCAAGATCTCTAGAGTAATCTTGGTTAAGTATGAAGCTAGGGGCTCATTCTTTTGTAGAAATGATTGCACTGCTTACTCGGAACTCAGTATTTTGTAGCGACTGTTCTAAATGAAAGAAGTCATTTTAGGCACATGGGGGTTCAGGGTTTTGGAATAATTATCTCGCCGAAGCGGAGGCCGGAAGGCAAACATCTGGAATAAAACATAAACTACCGCCGCGTAGCCGCATCTTTCTGCAAGTAGATAATCGAGCGGGGTGACATCAGCAAGATAAATTATTGTGCGAGGATGTGGTCAGATATGGAAATGACCGGTATTAATACATGTACGGGTATTGCCATTTATGTTTAAGCTATGTGATTTCTGAGAATGTCTGAGCATTTCTGGGCATTAATGAAAGCATTTATGATTTTTTGGCTTAATCCAATGCTAGGTCAGCTCATGTTCAGCTCGGAACGTGACGAACATCGTGGGCAGTGGTTATTTGATGAGTGCCTGGTATAATGGATAGCTTTCTGGCCATTTTTGGTGAAGTCAAGCAAGTTACAGCAAATGTCTAAACTTTAGTCGTGAAATTGAATTCTCTATGATGATCACCGATGCGTGCGCCGCGCTTAGATCACATCTAGCTATGGTGATCTGCTCTTTCATCGTAACATCATATATCCTGCTCTGTTGGTTGCATTGCAGCGCACGCCATTGCCGATCCACTTGCTCCGCTATGCACCCTATAGTTTCTTTCTGCGCTGAACAGACAGACCATACTCATTAACCTTGCTGACTCGGACGAATCAGTTATGACGACAACATTGCTCTTGCGCACGAAAGCATAAGCTGCAACTAGCCACACGGCTCTCACCGCGTGTTCGCCAGAACGAGCGACAGTAAGGAAAACGGTTTTTGAAATGGTTGAGGCGAGTTTGAAACTACCGAAGAAAATCACTAGTTGCCGTCTTAACGTAACACGAACGCCAGTTTCCTTTATCTGTGCTCTCGGTGTTGAAGGGAATCGCCGGGGACCACCTAGTTGGACTTCATTCTCAAACTGGTCCGATAAACACCAAACAGCGATTACAAGCGTCATGCCTCTCACGAAATGGTTCCGGGCCCACCAAGTCCGCAGCGCGGACGGTGATGTTGTCCATTGGACGGTTGAAGCTTCACACACCAGCAAACCCACGATCCAAAGGTCTCTTCGCTCCTGGTCACTTGGTTCGGTCTTGCATGCTGCTCGTGATGTGATTGCGAACGAGGAATCACAGTGTACAAGGTGCAAGTCTCGACGTCGATTTACGATCGATGGTCTTACATATCGCCACAAGCACGGACAAGATGGATGGAGCTGCAACGCCGTACCAATGGACTTCACATCGAGAGTAAATGGCGCAGCATTAAGGACTCAGGCGCACTTGTGCGGCGATTTTAACTTTGAGCTGGATCGAACTCACCCGATGTCAATTCCGGTCCCACCCCCATCGATCATTTTCATCGACTGCCCCCCATAGCCTAAAACGTACTACTTGTATTGGACAAGAAGGGAAAAGGACTGTGTTTAATAGTGAAGTTAGGATAGGTAACTGATCATTGAATTGAAACAATTCGAGCCTGCATTCTCGCATTTAGTTTCTAGCGGTGCCTATTAGCAGCTGTATAATTTTTTTTAAAGAAAATAGTCTGGTGAGTGCAGGCTGGGTTCACCTACCCAAGCATCGCGTCTTTAAGTAAAATCAAAAACAAATTTTAGGATATTTAGGACGTTTAGAAGTGGTGCGTTTTTTCATATTTTAGCTATGAGATTCTAATTGAGAATACATGCACATGTACTATCAAATATATCGATGCTCGTGTATGTCTACATCTAGAGGACAGCCAGGTCAATCGATCACGGTATCGCTTCGAATATTTTACGCGTAAAGGTCGAAGCAAGTCGACATAACATCAACAGTTTTCCTTCATAATTGTACTTGGTGATGAAATCTATTACTGCTTGTCAAGCGCAATGCAGAAAGTCTAAAGCTAGAAAAGCAATAGAGAAGCGCCAATAGCATATGAAACAGTATGCCAACAAAAAGTGGTACCAATTTACATAAAGAAGCCTCCATCATAGTAGAATTGTAAGTACTATATTTTATAAAAATGCAAGTATTTCGATCGCGAAGAAGACGCCATCGCGTTTGACATGAAGATGTCACGTTAATAGGTGTATGTTTCACAAAACAACGGGGCTGCCCCGGATTAGCGACTTTAGTCACTTAAAAGCGAGGCGTTCTTGGAGAATACATTATTTACAAGCTTTCCCTTCCTGCAAAAAAAGTGCATTATGGGTTGCTGTTTGGACTCGTTCTATTTTAGTCGAGCGATCAATAGTCCATTGTAGGATAATAGCACTAATTTCACCAAAGCTTAGGATAATAAATACAGAAACTTTTACAGAAGAAACGTGACCGACATATCATGTAACGTGACAATCCTTTCGTAGCTGGCCGTTAAATCGCCGACAGCGGTGCAGTCAAATGATGCCAGTGGCGATCCCAATGTTTATCTTCGCTGATAATAAGTCGGTACATTATTTCTAATTGAGACGACTTGTCGCGCCAGCGTCTCTACTATAGAATATTTGCGAGCTGTATTGTGAAGGGAGAACGTTTCGAATCGTTGTTTGAGGTCTATTTGTTTTTGCACAATGAGGAACATCGGATACAAGTGCAGATTCTGGATTCTGGGCTACGTCTCTTAAGAAGCAGAATCCAAAAAAAAATACTTCGAAGTAATTAAAAAAATCAGAAACCAGAACCCAATCATCGCATTTTAATTGATGTAAACCTATCACCAGTGCTGACTCAGCACCAATGGCTGCCGACAAAAGACAAAGTAGTGAGTGGAACGTGATCAAACTTGAATACTGAAAGTTGCGGTCATCAGTGAAATATCCCGTTGCCGGCTACTACATGTAGTACTTCGGCTCGATGGCTTACACCACCGTCTTGGCGCACAATTTCTTTGGCAACGGCAGCGAGTTCGTGACCCCCGTCGAGTTGGAGGACAAGTGCCGGGCATACGGCAATGCAGCTCTGGCTGAGCGTGTGACGGCGTCGCATCCTACCGGCTACAGCCTTGCCGCCGCCATGGAGCGTGACGGCTTCATCCGCGCAGAAGCCTTCTGTTCGTGGTGTGTGGAGGAGAGCCGCTTTGACGATCTGAACGACTACCTCGTGCGAGCTTTCGGCGCCGGTCAAGTGGTGGTGATGGAGCGCCAGAACGACTTCTCCCGCTTCAAGGTGCGCAGTGCCAACAAAGAGGTGAAGCTGTCGAAGATGTTCGCGCTCGTGGAAGACGTCAAGACCAAGATGCACATCCGCGAGTACAGCGTTTCGCAGACCACGCTGGAGCAGATCTTCAATTCGTTCGCCAGCCAGCAGGAGGAGGAACAGGGGGCTATTCGTGGCGTCTACCAAGGCCCTTAAAAGTCCAGAAATTGTCGTAAACTTAGTTGCCAAGCTCTTGAAGTACGCCACTTATCCGTCGTTTATTTTTGCTCTGTAAAATACCCTCTCAGTATTTATATCATTACTTTCTCGAGTATTGTTGCTGCTAAAGTACTACTTAAGTAGTAGCTATGCTAAAAACAGAATAGTAATTCTTTTTTGGGTAGTACGGGTACTACAAAGAATTAGTAGTACTGTATATAAAAAGACAAGTGGCACTAGACAATTCAGTACAAGTGATTAGTCACCAAGGAAGCAAATTGTGAAATAATAGCGGGGGCCTCCTACACAGTATGATGAATTGAAGCTGATAAGATTGACAGGACGAGGGGCTCTTTGTAATAAACGAGAGGTGATCGGACTTTTATTCAGTGAGCTCCCTTATGAAGAAATCCATGCGTCAGATACTACTCGTACGTTTTCGTTGCTGGCGATCGCCGCGGCCACCGAGCTACTATGACTCTTGCAGTGGATACTACTGATCCACAGCTCCCTAGCCACTGACGAAGTGCTATCAATGCAAATGATGCTCAAGTGAAAGCAGGGCTTCGATGAAGCAGCGGCGACAGGTGCGAAATGGAAAATATTACGAGCGTGTCCACTGGCTGACGGTTCAGAACAAGGAAGAATAGATCGGGAGATACTACGGGAGCAGCTCGCTTCCGTGGTGGATGACGTATTACGGCATCATCAAGAGCCCCTGGCTGTTGCGTCCACTTGAAAAACGGGTCCAAGATGCTAAAGCATCTTAGTTTTCGAGTGAGATGGTCCATAAAGACTTAGCAGCCTAATAGTTATTGGCGACCAGAACATCATGGTGATGGCTTTCACGACGACCCCACTATCAATTGTTTTTGTGGTGGAACGGTGAAACTGTTCCTGACGTTATGCGGATAGTGGCAGTGGCGGTGCTCAGACCCAGTCGACGGGGATATAGGGACCAGCTCCGGTGTTGAGACCCCTTCAGGTGACACTCTTTGTCTAATGGACAGCACGATAACGTTTACCTGATGTATATGCTCTTACATACCTTTTTGTGACGGTATGTGTATGCAGGTGTATGAACAGATACCGATTAGGGCAGGGGTTCCCGTTATTCACCCCCAATCGTACTGAGCAACATTAGCGTAAACAGGACTTTGAATAATCAATCGTCCATTTATGAATTATCGATGTAAGTTGTATGAAACTCATTAGTATCATACTTACTGTATGTATCACTGGTACCGATGGTGTCCCGTACCCGGGAACGGAGGGGTCATTCCAGGAGCTCTGCCTCCCGTCGGGATGACCCGAGACCCTGGAATCACTCCTCGCCCCGCCGTCCCGTCAGGGTGGTTCCCGTTGAACTCAACCTCGCACGTACCCTTGACCGAGCCCGTTAGGGTGGTCCTATAAGGGGACCCCTGAACGCCGGAGTCTTGGCGTCGTGGGACCAAAAGCACCTCGCGACATCAAGCCCTTTCCCAGAGGCTCTCCGTTGTCCCACGAAGGCCGACAACAAACGAAGTGAATCCTTCCTTTTTTTATATGTAGTGTAGTGTATGTAAGGTCGAGAAGGTGTTAGGCCTCTCTTCCGGTTAGCTCTCAGTCTAATATTTCCCTCCTTCTACTCAAGAGGAAGCCAAGCCAATCAACAAACTTTTATTTTTCAACTCTCTAGTGTTCCTATCTACCGTTCCTGCAGCCACTGAACAAGACCGTACTCCCTGAACAGCCGCGGACTACCCGACCCTTGAAGGAAGAGGAGGTATACGACATCTGGTGGAGAAGCAGGGTAGTCTGCTGTCTGGAGAAGGTCCTGCTCCAAGTGAAGTCTCGCGGAGAACGTCAGAAGGTAGGACAAGATGTCGGCTACTAACAACAGAGAAGATGAGAGCGCCACTGTCCGGGAAGAAGAAGGCCCGACCGAGAGTCTGCCTTCGAGAATGCGACCCAGTCTGTCGACTACGCAAGGCCTCCAAAACGTGCAGAATATCATAGACCAAGCGGCTAACCGACTTGGGGGGGAACAACTCTAGTACTGGTGTCGAGCCACCCGCGGACGCTTTGGGCTCCGGGGTCCCTGCGACCTTCACTTCGGAAGAGTTGGACTCGATGCTGACCCTGAACGGCGGAGGCGGCCGAGGTATGGTGCAAGGCTGGCTTAACTCCCTCAACTGGTTGAGATCCATGGCCCCTCCTGAAATTGCCGCCGCTATGGAGAGAACTGGTGGAAACGGTCTTGTGGGGACTCCCCCTTCTACGACTCGAGTAAGGACTGCAATCCCGTCGTACCAAGGTTTCACAATCCGAACCCCAAATACGTCATATGGACAGGACTTCAACCCGTTCTTCTCCCTACCAACTGTCCCTGAAAACGGTGGACGTGCTTCCCCGGCAAGTATTCCTCCGAGGACCTCTAACGCTCCTCCTTGGGGTCTCCAGCCCTCCGGTAACTTGCGAGGAGGCGGGGAGAACGCTCCAGCGGTAACCGTCCCCGTTCCTCAGAGGGTTCCTTTCCAGGTCTCGTCGCCTACCGTTCAAATTCCTACCCAAGGCCTGGGGTCTCGAACTTCGATTACCAGTGGAGTCGCGTACGGAGTCGACCCTACGAGAACAACCCGAGCTTCACAAGGAAACGGAGGAACTACGGCTTCTGCCGGAACCCACCAGGGTCCTGCGTATGAGGAATATGGAGGTAACTCCTACTACTCCTCGCCTACGTATGGTAATACGCCTTCGACTACTAGTGGCCAGTATGGTATGCCCACTAAAATCCGAAACGCAATTCGCATGCTCCAACCCTTTTACTCGGAAGGAGCGTCGGTGGAGAAAGCTAGATCCTTCTGGGAGGCTTTCGAGAACGCCACGATAGGGCTGGACGAACCCCTGCGTCTCAGCGCTTTCAGGGAGTGCTTGAAAGGCAAGGTCGGCGAAGATTGGTGGATGTACTCGCGCATCAACAGCTATGAGGCTCTGAGAACTCGGGTTCCACAACCAGCTCATCAGTCAGACCCCTTTGCAACTGATTGAGAATCTGAAGAACACTAAACGACCCCGAGGAATGTCCGCCGAAGTGTGGGGCGACATGATTTCAAGTCTCTGCGATGATGCTCAGTGCTACGACACTCAGATGCGTTACCAGTACTTCTTGTCTGGACTCCGGAACCGAGATTGGAGGAACGCCCTCACCACGACCATGATTGACTCCATCCCTGCGGCTGTGGCCATGCTGCTCCTTAAGAATATGCATCGTCCGGTTGAAGACGACTCCGAGTTCTACAATGTGCCGTCCCCTAAAACTTCCCAAGAAAACGCTGTCCTCGAACGCATGATGAACATGATGCAGCAGACGCAGAATCTACTCGCTCAGCAGCAACAGCAACAACTTCAGCAGCAACAGCAGTTGATGGAGCGTCCTCTGACGACCGCCTATGCTTCCCCAGCGATGAATGTAGCTGCTGCCTACTCTCCTCCTGATCCGAACCCCTCTCTGCACTATCAGCCTATCGGAACGCTTCCTATTACGCCTATCAGGGGCGTTCGTGTGGGTCCGGACTTGCAAACCCAAGATGTTCTTCTCGTGTGCGGTCGGTGTCACACTCTGGGGTGTAGTCGTATTCACTGTCGCCGCGGCAAAGCCACCTGTCCTCACTGTAAGGAAGTGGGCCACATCGGTCCTGAATGTGAGCGTGACCCTCCTAGCGGATTCCGGAACACCCAGCCGAGGAACGGACGCAAGTGCTTCCTGTGTGATGAATCGGGTCACATGTTGGCGGAGTGCCCTCTAAAGACGTCACTGAAGAGACTTGGCGGTCCGACAGGGGCAACGGTGGGACCTGTCCTAGGGCAAGCGCCTCAGCCAGCAATGATGGGGGCGAGAGGGAGGGGAAGGGAGTGTCGCTCCTTCCTCTTGTCTATGGATCGACACAAATGGGAACACTTTGAACTCCGCGGAGGAGTCGACCAAGAGGTATGAAGTGTGTCCTGTTGGAGGTGGGATGAGTTCCGCCACACCGGAAAGAAATGAAACGAACGTAAGCAATGAACATATGACGAGACCTGAAGAAATACTGCCGTTTGAGCATGAAGGACGTACGGCGCCCGTGTGGAACGGGGTATCGGTAGTCTCAAACCCCAACGACTGTTGGAAGACGGAGAGAGAAGCGTTTGTAAAAGAGGTAGGCTCGGGACCCGTATGGGACGGTCCCGCAATAGCTGCGCACGTCGACGAACGCTCCAATACGAACCTAAGAGTGGTTACGAGAGATGACCAAGAGAGCGAGATCGAAACAACGAACGAAAAACTAAGCAAGGAAGGAGAGACGGAAAAGCCGCAACTTCAGGCGTCCTCGACGGAACGAGACTACCTGTCGACGTCAACGAACCACAAGAGTGTGGTTTCGAGCGTGCTCGATCAAGACGAGGAATAAAGGTGAGTCCAATGACGGCCCTATACAGGAAGAAGTTAACTCCCAGACGTGACGGGAGGTACTCGAAAGCCCAACCCGAGAAGAATATGGAGCTACCGAAGCTAGTGTTCCAGTATCAAAGGCGGAACCAAGCGAGCAGGAGAGAGACGTGACCCCTCCTGAGAGAGACGACGCTTCCGAAAAGGACTCTGAGGACGTCGCCAGTACTAAGTCCCCAAAGAATGAACCGGAGAAGGAGCCTTCCTTCGCTAGGGTGTTCACCAAAGAAGAACTAGATACGTTGGAAGAAGGTAAGCCTTCCGAGCTGGCTGAAGAGAAAGAAGAATATGACAAAGAGCTCGAAGACCGACTGTTTCCTCTCGATGAAGTCAAACTGAAGCGCCGGTTAGTTGAGAATGCGGAACAATCGAAGGAACTGTCTCTTGCCGAGTTGAGTGACTTACTAGGCATTCCCGAAGAACCACTAGCGAGGACCCGAGATTCTTCCCCCGGTCGACTATCTACTCCTGAGTACTGGTTGGAATGGTTCCAAAAGACACTAGCCTCGTCCGGAGAAGCGAAGCG